TTCCTGATCATTCAGATTTGATTATTATTTTTGGTTTTCAGAACATTGACTGCATCTCTCATCTGCAGCTCTTCACACGTTAAGGCCATTGTTTAAAGCTAAGGAACTAATTTTTGGTTACTTCATACTCAAAAGAAGAAATAAACTACGGAAAAAGAAATCCATCTCCAGAACAGAGCTAAAACACACATTCAGCACGGGTCAACCGCCCGGAAAAAACCCTGTTCATCAAACCATGTCACTGTACAAAACACATGGCTTTCAAATCATCCCTGAGACAAAGAAATCAAACACAACTACTGCTAAAAATCAAACGAGGTAGTATAAAACAGGGACTATAAGAGCAAAAATACACACATTCGTACGACAGACCTGAGAAATCTAACGTGACCTGAAGTAGAGTCGCAAATAAATTGTATACGTAAACATCAGAGTAAAACCATCAACTGAAAGTTTAACGTTTATGAACACGAGGTAGGTAAAAAACACCGTCCTAACTATGTGTGATGCAATGAGCCGGGTAGCTCTGCCTACTTTGAACTCCTATTGGTCCAAAGTCCTGCATATTAAACAGCAGCTATGTTCTGATTGGCTGCGATCGCGCCACACAGCAGGACAGGTAAAAAACCTTCGCAATCTCATACTTCAGGATTAAACAAACACACAAACTAACATGAAAACAACGCTGTCGAGTGTATAAGCGGACATTAAATACTTAAAGATAAACTGAGGTAGATTAGGAAGTCAAGAGAGGCTCTTCCGCTCTCTCTCGCGGAGGTTACGGCAGAAAACGTGACATTCACGTCGCACCTTTTTTGAACACATTCATGGTGGGTGAGATTCTAGTTTCTTTCAGACACACAATGGTTTATAAAAACGAACAGAAAAAGAGCGAAACAAATACATTCACCGAGAAAGAGGGCATTGGGGACGTCTCGGGTCGTCCAGCACTGCTCAGTAGTCCGTTTAAGCAGAAGGGGGCACCAGAGAGCAAAAGGGTTCTTTGCTAAACAGGATGTGGCTCCATCATTTCCTGTTTCTGAAGTGTCGTTTCCGTCATTGGGATCACGTGGGGATGCAGCTCTTTCTCTGTAACCTCGTGAACGGGCGTTTCGTCCGACGCTTCGCTCTCCTCGCCCTGCAGGGAGGCCGGGCGACTGCCGATACCCAGAGACAGGTTAGTCGCCTCGGTGTCGTCGTGAGAGTAGCGTCCCGAGTCGCCCGTCTCGTGGCTGCCCTCGCTGGAATGAGAGCCCTCGCTGTCGCCCCCCGGTGGCCCAAACAGGCCCTGCAGAGAAGACGGCGGGTGCTGAGGAGAGGTTTCTGTGTAACACAGCAGGGTGGTGCCCTGATGATAGGAGTAAGATGGACTGGACATCTTCTTCACATCCTGATGGAGGCAGAAAACACCAGTAAACAACAGAGAAAGAAGAGTTTCTGAACTTAAGAGACATTTAAAAAGAGACTGTATATGGGTGAATCCCATAAATAATGTTATATTCATCCCAAAATCACAATGAGACAGAAACACAATTATATTTTACTTAAAAATGAAGAAAATTAACTTTTTTGTATCAGTTGTTTTTTAGATTGTGACATTAAGTTAAGTGACATTTGTTAATTTCTCATTAATGTTGTGTTAAAAAAAATGCAAACTAACAAGTCATTACTATTTAATAATATATTCTTATTAAAATAAATGATTTCAATAAACAGTGTCCTTTTAGTATATTTACTGTATAATTTATATAATATAATAGTATGTATCAATATTTGTTTTTTTTAATATTCATTTTATTATTTTATCATTATTATTATTATTATTTGTTGCTGCTTTTTACATTTTGATTTAGCGTTAATATATTTTTGTTTCAGTTTTGTTAATTGTAGCACTTCAACCTTTTTTATTATTGGTAGTTGCCAAGGCACCATTTCAATGTTTTATTATTTTTTATTATTATTTTTACTTTTTTTATATAGTTTTAGCTTACAATAACAACACAGAATATTCATCATGGCAGTATTTACCACCTTTAATTTATACTCATTTATAATAATAATAATAAATAGTTTATAGTAAACTACTATAGTTTATTATGATAATGTCACATGAACATAATATATTATATTGTATCATTTGCAGTATAATTACATTTAGTCATTTAGCAGACGCTTTTATCCAAAGCGACGTAC